TTTCCTCCATTATGAGAGAAGAACTTGAGGGCTAAGTAACTGTCTCTAAGTTAAGAGTTCGCCTTCGGCAAGGGCACAGTTAACATTTACGGTGTGGCACCTGCTCTGGAACAAACCGTTTGCCCCTGTGAGGTGGAGAGAGTATCACTTGTTTGCTTACCTCCCAGGGCTGATGTGAGGACCAAGTACAGTGACGAATGTGAAGGTACTTTGTCCACTGTAGAGCCAAGTATCCTGTAAGGTGGTGGTATTTCCCAAGTTCTTGTTCCTAAAGTGGTGTTAATTAGTGGCCGCTTTACCACTTGGCTGAGATGCTTACTTCTCCTGTTGACACTAAAATTCATCTAGAGGCATCACCTGGAATGCAGTTTCCAGAAGGGACATTTTCCCAAGCAGAAACACTTTTTGTTTTGCTTTTTTATTTTTTATTATTTTTTTTAAAGATTTTTTTTTAAATTTATTTATTTGACAGAGAGACAGCGAGAGCAAGGAACACCAGCAGGGGGAGTGGGAGAGGGAGAAGCAGGCTTCCCACCGAGCAGGGAGCCCGATGCGGGGCTCGATCCCAGGACCCTGGGATCATGACCTGAGCCGAAGGCAGACGCTTAACGACTGAGCCACCCAGGCGCCCTTGTTTTGTTTTTTTAAACCCTTGCTTAGGAAAAGCAACAGTTTAAAGCAAAACTAAGCAAAAACACTCAAGATTCCAGGGCGATTGGCAGACCAATAAATCAACTTGCAGTGCCTTTCCTTGCACTCCCCCCATGAATACAGTGGCAGAGTGTTGTCTGTCTTCCTGGACAAAATTGAGCCACAGTGCTCAGGGCAGCTGGGACTAGGGATACCTGTGCTGTCCCGCACTGAGACAGGTGGGAGTGATGCTGAGATACCCAGACCAGAGGGCCACACGTAGGCGCAGCCTGGGGCCTTCACCCTTGTTTCTAGGCAGTGTGGTCGGGCATGCGAATGCTTCCCCTCCGCCCGCCAATAGGAATCTCCTTGGGGACTGGACCATATCTGCAGCTCCCTTCGTAGCTCTCCCAGCTGCAGGGCACAACATCTGCAGGGCTTAGCGCTTCATAGTCCTGTCTGGAAACAGCCGGTGGGCAGCTTTGAGACAGGCAGGTGTTCTTCCGCAGGCCGACCGCGAAGCCACGCAGTGTTCAGCCCTGGCGGAGCTTCGCTAGGGCCTCCCGCGGCACCGCACAGGGCGGGATGCCCGAGGCCTCGTTTTTGTTCTCCGACGCTGCACTGAGGACCGGACTTGGTACCCCCGGCTTCATTTTCCGGAAATGAAGAGCCAAAGGTTGAAGGCTACCGTGACAGATGACAGGGTTTGCTACAAGAATCCCAGTTGCCACGTTGGTCTCTGGCCTAATGAAGCTGCTGCTCACCCGATCTGGGAGGTGCTGGTGGATGGGGCTTCGGGGGAAGAAACGTGTGCAAAGGAGCCAGTCCTCGGACTTAAGCAGGAACAGCGTGCATTGCGCTTCTGAGCTACTTGGCTAGCATTGGGACGAGGCCAGGGAGTCGGGAGTGATGCTCTCGTTTTGGACAGCAGGGGGCTGCCCAAACCAAGTCCAGACGCGCACGTGCTGCGGCAGTGGAAAGAGCCGTTCGCTCCCCGCGCAGCACGGCCTCCCCCTCGCCAGCCTCTGCGATCGGTGAGGTACGGAGCGGCGCCGGAGAGAAGACAGGGTGTGGCCTGGAGCCCGCCAGCCAAGAGTCCATTAAAGTATCTTCCACCATGTGCTGAGAACATTTAAGCAACCATTCCAACAAAGAAGCTTCTACTTGGTTTTGGAACCATAGCTGGGAGCCAGTGTTTGTTTATATTCTTCATGTATATAATACACGTAAAACTCTTGCCCACTTTGGAAATAAGGTGAGCTTCTCCCACTACACAGCTCTGCCCTGTCTAGGGGACCTACAGTTGAATAGGTTTTGGCAAAAGGCTCGCCTCAGTTTCTTTCTTGGTAAACTAGTTTTGTCATTATATTAGTCCTATATTGCTGTGTAACAAATGACTTCAAAATCAGCTTAAACGTTTATTATATCACATGGTTTCTGTGGGTCAGGAGTTTGGGAAGCAGCTTGGCTGGATGGTTCTGGCTTGGGCTTCTCTTCGGGAGATTGTAGTTCAGAAGACTGCAGCCTGGTCAGCACCCTAAGTCTTGACTGGGGCTGGAGGATCTGCTGCGGAGCTGGCTTGCTCACATGGCTGGCTGGCAGGTTGGGGCTGGTCATTTGCAGGAAGCCTCGGATCCCCACCACAGACACCTAACCTTAGGACTGCTTGGTTAGAATAGGACCGCGTAATACAGCAGCAGGTCTCCTCCAGAGTTACCCGAGAGAGAAAGGAGAAGCGGTCAGGTCTCTCGTGATCTAGCCTCTGAAGTCACACAGTATCACAGTTACCCTGGTTGCTGGCTTATCACAGCTGTTTTGGAAATAACGAGGTGTGAAGAGAGGAGCTGTTTTGGCTCCTTTTTTAACAGCCATGCTGTGGAATGGGATAGGAAACCCCTTGCATGGTAGGGGCACCCTCCCCTTCTTTGTCTGAAATTAGTTTCCTTGTAAATCCAGGTATTAGGGACAAGTCCCCCCACCCCCACCCGCCTTTTTTTGCAGTCTGTTAATATTTGCTTTATATATTTAAGATGCTCCTATGTTGGGTGCATAAATGTTACAGAAATGTTTAGAAACATTACATCCTCTTGTTGGATTGACCCCTTTACCATTATGTAATGTCCTGCTTTATTAGCTTTTGTTTCAAAGTCCATTTTGTCTGATATATGTATAGTATGCCCCTGCTTTCTTTTGGCCCCTTTCCATGGACTATCCAAATTTTTCATCCATTCACTTTAGTTGTATGTACCCTTACAGCTGAAGTGAGTCCCTTGTAGGCAGCATGTAGACGGTTCTTGTGTTTTCTGTGATTGGAGAATTTAGTTTTTACCTTTTTTTTTTAAAGTAGGCTCCATGCTGGGTGTGGGGGGTTCAACATGCGGGTTGAACTCATGACCCTGAGATCAAGACCTGAGCTGAGATTGAGTTGGACACTCAACCGACTGAGCCACCCAGGCGCCCCAGCTCATTTACATTTAAAGTAATTATTGATAGGTATGTACTTATTGCCATTTTTAACATTCTTTATTATTTTTACTGCCATTTGTTAATTATTTTCTGGCTGTTTTGTAGCTCCTGTTTCTTCTTGCTTTCTTCCTTTGTAGTTTGGGGACTTTCTGTAGTGGTATGTGTATCTACTACTGGATTTTGTGTGGTGGTTACTATGAGGCTTACAGGTAACTTCTATTTCTACCAGTCTATGTTAAGTAGATTAAGTTTGAACACATTTTTACCCCCCCCCCACTTTAATGTTCTTGATGTCACATTTTACATCTTTTATCTTGTGTATCCCTTATTATACTTTTATTACTTTTACCTTTTAACCATATACTACTTTTGAGATTAATCCACTACCTTTATACTTACCAGTGAGATTTATACTTTCCTATATTTTGTTGCTAATAATTAGCACCCTTTTTGGCTTTAAGTCCCTTTCACATTTCTTGAAAGGCCAGTTTAGTGGTGATGAACTCTTAGCTTTTGCTTGTCTGGAAAACACTTTCTCCTTCAATTCTGAATAACTTCGCTGGACAGAGTATTCTTGTTCGGAAGTTTTTCTCTAAAAAGTCTATATACTGTCCTAGATGTCAGGAACAGTAATCCATTTCATGACCAAGCCCACTGCCAGGCTGTGTAGGCACTCACATGTATAACGGAGGAGGGAAAAATCCTTCTTAGATCAGACAGCACAGTTTAACAGAAAGATGGCTTTGAAATCCTTATTCTCTAATTAGCTTTGTGAGCTTGAATAAATTCAGCTGAAGGAAAAAACCTATTCTGCAGAGGTCTTCTATCACAATAAATACTAATTACAAGCATCCTTTGAATCTCTCAATCCTATCAGCATCAGTCAGACCTGCCAGTTAAGAGAATATATTTTTTTAAGATTTATTTATTTTGGAGGGGGAAAGAGAGTGTGTGTGCATACATGAGCAGGGGGAGGGGCAGATGGAGGGGGAATGAATCTCAAGCAGACTCCCTATATAGTGTGGAGCCCGATGTGGGGCTTGATCTCACGACCCTGAGATTACTTAAAAAAATCTTAAAAAAGCGATCTGGTAGAGTCTGTACTTAGCCTTACTTTGTCTATACAAAGAAATGTTCTTTTTCATTGGATTCACCTTGTGATACACTCAAGTTACATTTTTGGAATTTACCTAAGCATTAGGAAAGTATATAAAAATATACTTCTGTTTGGACTTTTTTTTTTTTTTTTTTTAAGATTTTAAGTAATTTCTCTACCCAATGTGGAGCTCGAACTCACAACCCCAAGATCAAGAGTTGCATGCTCTACCACTGAGCCAGCCAGTTGCCCCTCAAATTATTTTTTTTGATAGTGATCTGGCAACTTTACGGGTGTCCTCTGACATCTTGTTTTTCTACCTGGTTTTCATAGTTTGTAAGATAAAAGGCAACCATCTAGGTCAGGGATTGGCAAATTCTGGCCTGTTTTGGTAAATAAAATTTACCAAACATAACCACTAAGTAGGAGAGGAAAGTAGTTGTGACAGAGACATCCCTTGAAGAACAGGTCTGTCAACCCCTGTCTAAAGTCCTTCTTTGTTTAGGGCAGTGCATCACATGAGTGGACCTCGAGGGAAAGCACCTTGGAAGTTCTTAGACTTTTTTCCTGCAAAGCTGTAAATGCATAAAGATTTATCATTCTTCTCCATGGAGCTCATTCAAAGCTATCGGTCAGTCAGAGAGCATGTACAGGAGAGCTTTCTAGGTAGAGAGTAAAGCACCCAAGGGGGAAAGGCCCGTCTCGAGTGCTAGGTGAGTGACGAAAAGATTAACCGGCGTCAAGGGAGAAAAAAAGAAATCTTGTCAAAATTACTACTTGTGGACTAAAACAAAGGACACATTCCCACTGGAACAGAAATAAACTTTAATTTGTTGAAAAGTGCAGCAGTGAACAGGGTCTTTTGAAGGGCACTTTCTAAGTCAGGTGACTGAGATGACACAAAGCCAGGGCAGAGTAACTTCTAGGAACAGATGACACAAACACAGGAATTGACAGAGGTCATGGGACCTAAGTGGTGGTCAAAGTAAAAAACCCAAATATGCCCATCTAATTCATTGGCGGATCAGCTGAAATAGCCTTTGCTTTCTCTTAATAAGGACTGTGGAACAATCCATCTTATTTTGTTAAAGCACTAATCCTTAGACACCAAAAATAAATTTAAGAACGTTTCTCACAGATTAAGATGTAACTTCCATGGCTACTGTCACTATTTTGTACAAAATCCTTAATATTGTCAATTAAAATGTATTTTGCAACAGTACCGTTGGACAAATTCAAAGATGCTCAAAAGGGGTTCCCCACTGGGTATTTGGGGGGGAGATTTTAATAGGAAATCTTGTAAGGCAAAAATCTCTGTTCATTCCTGTGGCCTTGGGTCGCTTTTCTAATGGTTAGTTTTCTCCTCTGAAGGGCACCAACCAGTCCAGACCTGGCCTTGTAAAAGAGAAAACAATCAAAATCCAAATTCATACAATTAAGAGACTTGGCTTGCAATGTGTTCCTTGTACATATACATTCTGAAAAGTTCAGTGTGTTGAAGTTTGCTAGGCTATGAACTGAGTCCTCTTTATGAAAGATGATTTTAGCACAGATCCAGAATGAAGCCAGTCTAAGAGAAAGTCGAATTATAGGCCATTCCCAAGTTAGTAGGAAATGTACCAGATACAGGAGAGGTACACAGAGTGGGCATCCCATCCCCACCACCCAAACAGCAGTCCGCGGAATGTTAAGAGCAGTGTGGCAGGGTTACTATGGGCAGCTGGACTTGTGTCACTCTTATGACTTTGCCGGCTCTCAGGAACCAGCATCATAAAACTGAATAATAGGACATCACAATATAAGACCTGGTAAGAGTTGGTTTCTTTTTATTCGGGAATAACTATGGTCAACTTTCAGTAAGGTAGAAGTTGACTGATTAATGTTAAGAATCAAAGTGTAGAATAAAGCTGATACCCATATTTAACATTGTAGTTTGCTTTTAATTACAAAATAATTAGAATTTCTTTCCCTAAAACATTCACAGCAGAGGTGTTCATTTCACTTGCCGATTTCACCTCTAAATACCACCACAGTTACTGGGATTGCATGAGGTAAAGGAACAAACCCAATGGCTATTAACCCAACATGGCTCCAGATCTGGAGTTCGGACAGAGAAGTTGCTTACAGCCATGTCTTACAAAGTGCTTAAAGCTCAACCTAAGACCTTAAATAAAGCTAAAATCACTATTGCCTGAGTTGAACAGGTTATAAACCACAGCTCTTCCTCCTCCCTCTGCCGTCCCACCACAGATTAGCTTTCCTGTGAAGAAAACAATAGAAACAGGACTGGTCTTTGAGCCCAGAAACCTACAAATGTAGGTGTTCTAAACAGTGAGGAAATCTCAACAAGGTCTGACTTTGGCCGGGGAACAGTGAGTGAGGCCCAAATTACCCAAGACTCCAAACACTCAGGAAGAACTCTAAAAGGGAAGGAATTAGGGTAAAGCAGTTGGAACTTCGCATCAACTATACCAGATGAACAGAATGTCAACAAAATGCAGAGTCAAAACTGAACCCAGGCTCCCTGCTACACAGGCACTTACTCTATCTCAACTATAGCCCTTCAGCCTGTCAACCCAAGAGCCCTGTCTACAGCAGGCCCTCAGAAAATGCAACCTTCACCAACCCTTGGAAGTTCTTTCTCCGCTGAGATACCTAAGCCACTTTGTTTTTCAGATCTCAGAGGGGTAATTATCAAAAGAAGAGACATTCCCACTTGTGGTTAGCATGTAGTTAGCAGCCACCAGAAAGGAGATGGCTATCACCTTTTAGAACCACCTGGAATTAGCCTTTACCAAAAACTGACTGTTCTATATCAGTGTAGCACCAGCCCAGAATGCAGAAGAAACGAAACAACAAAAACCCAACAACAAAAAACAGTGTTTGGTTGACAGATGGGTTTTGAATTTGTGACCTTACCACATTGTGACTAATCTGAAAATGGTGGTACTTGTTCTTGCTCTGATGGTTATTCAAGCCATGTGATGTTGGTATTTTTGATAGTGAAGTAGTCAAGCTGTAAAATACTCCCCCGCCCCCCAAGTATTGCCATTTATCTGAATGGATTTACAAATTCAGACTCTGACCACATGGGGAATAATCAAGAACTGTAACCCCAGGAAAGGGTATGGTGAGAACGAAGACCTCAGGAGCATTCGTGATTAGCTGAGTGAAGGGACCAGGGCCAGCCATTCCTGACGTAAGGGCAGAGTTCACAGTTTAACACTTTGCACAAGGAAGTCTCCCGATTGGGTTGCTCTTTCAAACAGGACTGAGAGCCAGTCCAGAAACTCTTCCAGGCGTGGTCTTGAGGACTAGCTACAGATACCTACTACAATCACTCCATCAGGCAGAGGCGTGCGGGGACCCAGCTGCAGACGTCGCTACAGAGGATGCTTTGAAAACCTTCGCGTCCTGACCCTGCCATGACTGTTGAACATGAGCCGAGGGTCAAACCTGTATCTGGGGAAGGAAACGGGTCACATTAACTCGAGTTAGCCGCTGAGCACTTCCTTCAGCATGTTCAGTGGAAAGGATAGCAGGAAGGAAGAGAGAAGGAACTTAAATCACCAGAAAGGAATCGAGTGGCAAAGTCTGTAGTACAGAAGTACTGAATAATGAAGAGCATTTCCAGCACAAGGAAGCAAGCACAAAACAATGTAGTAAAAAGCCAAGAGGAGGAAAAACAAGTAAGATTAATCTTGAGAAGCATTAGGAGGAGGCAAGATGTGAGCTGCCCCCCCCCTTTTTTTTTTGAGAGGGGTTTGGAGGCATCCTGAAGTTTGGTTAAAGCAGCCTAATGGCAAGAATACAGCCTTTGCTGGAGCCCTACCAGAGCCCTTTACTTCACAGTTCAGACAGAATGACAGGTAAGAGCACAGGTGTGCACCTCGGACACAAGTTTCCATCTGGCTCATTACGAACTCAGGTAAGTCATTAGCCTCTCTGGCTACCAATAAAATAGCGAGGAGTGTAACACACATGAAATATCTGGTACACACTGTAAGTTGGCCAAGTGTCAAGTTACCATTCAGCTTTTACTCTTTGTTCGGTGGTAAAATTAAAGAAGGTAGATCGGCTGGAAAGACATTTTACATGTGTAGGCTAGACAGAACATTGTATTTTACTTTTATCCTGCAATCTCTTGGAATAAACTATTTAGCATTATTTTAGAACCAGGGGGGACCATACACTCTCTGTCCCAATGACTCAACTTTGTTACTGTATGTAAATGAATGTTTGTGGCTATTTTCAAAGGGTGGTGGCTGGATGGCGGGAGCCTGTAGGATCTAGTCTACTGACCCCCATTTTCAGAGGATTCTATAGGCCTAAGTGTTTGGTGGGAAAGAATAAGCTACTGCTAAGGAATTTAAAAAGAAATCAGGTGGTTTAAATATTAGTAAAGCCAGCATCTACAGTCTCGGTTATAAGCTTCTTAGAACGTGAGCAAGACAAATTATAGTTACAACAAACACAGCTTGCCTGGGAGTCATGAGGTCTTGCTGTATCAGTTCTAACTGTGACCCTTGGGCAAATTGCCTTCAGGGCTCTAGCGACTGCTTGGAAGTTCTCTGGTTAAGTCCTAACACTTCAGACCTGATGCTCAGGCTCCATCTGAGGATGGATTTAAGTCCCAAGAGTCATCCAGAGACTGCTATAGACATCTAATTTTACTTGATAAAACACTCTGAGCACAGTAGCTGTTGGAAACTGCAAAATCATCATGTGTCAACTAGAAGTCTTGTGCCTTTTACTTGAGAGAATGAATTTCCTACTTCAAAGAACTGGTGTAAGTGAGGCTGCATTTCACTAACCTGGAGGAAAGCTCCAAACTGGGCAGTGAGAACGCTTGACCGATGCGTTCTGACTGATTAACAGGGTTATCCATATAAAAAAAGCTTAAGTGATATAAAATTATGATAAATGTCTTTTTATATTATTGTCACCTAGTTTTAGTTTGCTGGCCTCCACATCTTGCTGGCTCTATATATGGCATTTAGAAGCAAAAATGTTTTTCCTTTTAAAATTTTATTTGAGAGAGCGAGAGCAGGGGGAGGAGCAGAGGAGGAAAGACTCTTAAGCAGACTCTGTGAGCTGAGTTCAGAGCCCAGTGCAGGGCTCGATCCCACGACCCTGCGATCATGACCTGAGCCGAAACCAAGAGTTGGACACTTAACCGACTAAGCCACCTAGCTGCCCCTACATTTCTTTAATAAACTGTCTATAATCCAGTATCTCTGCTCATTCGCATAGATTACTCTCTAATGTGTACTGAAGACATTTTAGACAAAGCTAAATAACTAAGTTACTACTTAAGTTAGTACTTTCCATCAAGCACAGGATATCAATCTTCCCTACCATCAAAATAAGAACTAAAATAATCCTTTCCTGGTGAAAATTCAACTTTAGATCTCATAATCTTCAAGCATAAAATGACAGGTTTCTTACCATAGGCAGCTCAAATTCATGGTATGCTGAGACCCAGTGTCACTGGTGAAAAGTTACTATTTCAGAGGAATGAGTGGTAGGAACAGAGCTGGATTAGAAGGTGATGAAAATCTTCTCTGCCTTCATATACTACAGTGGTTTTATGTAGTTCAACATTTCAGAGTCTATGCCTTCTAATTCATTTTGTGTGTTTAGCATGTTAAATTTACTGGCAAGCATTCCAGTTCCTCTAATTGGGGTTTCTGAGAAATGAACGAAGGCATATCATCTCAGAAGTGCTAGGGAACAGGGCAGCACTTGGTCGGCTTACTCTAAAAAAGCTCCACCTGTCACCTGTGCAACCGACAAGAGCCACACGCGGCAGGGGTCAGGGCTAAGCCTCCATGTAAAGCACCAACTGGAACCAGAGAGCAAAAAGTTTCAAAGAACTTATTTTGTCAGCACAACAGACACAGGATTCCTACCATAAAGCAGAACACTGAGAAACACAGCTTAGCTCAAAGCCAAAAGGGCCCCTCAGGCTGCCTCTGCCTTCAAGGATGGCATGATTGCTACAGACAACTTGGGAGAGCCATCGAAGACAAGGGAAACTTACCCAGGGTCAAACACCCCTGGAGTGCGACAGGTTGGTCCAGAACAGGACTGTAACATCATTAGCCGGTAGTTCATTTTTCCTAAAAGCTCTGGGTCTATACTTTTAGCAATGTTTGTGATTTGGTCTGGATCTGCAGTCAGGTTATAGACTTCTACAAATACCTGCGAGAATGTGAACATGGGGGAAAGAAAAGAACAAGCATTATATTTGAAATACTCCTCATGTGAATGATTTCTAAATGGGAAGGGAAGAGGTGGATAAGCGCAGTGCCTGGGAGAGCATCATCTGGTCTCAACATCCTCAGAGAGCCCAAGGGTAAACATGAGACCACGGAGCATCTGTTCTCAGGGTTAAAGGGCTTCAGGTCCAGGGTCCATGGCCCACGTGCTGGGAAGGGGCCTCCAGCACCCCCTGTGCCTTTCGGCAGAGATAGGAGGACAAATTTACTACCTTTTATAATAAAAGCAGAGAACAGAATGCAGGACCCTGAAATAGGCTCAGAAAGTAGACTGCTAATATTGTTAACAAAAGTGAGAGCTGACATTTGAAGGTTTTTGCGTTAGAATTGTTAAGATTCAAATAAGAATAGATATGAAAGTATTCTAACCTGTGTTGTACAGATGCTAGTTTCCTGTTTTAAAAAGCAGTTTTGGATGTCCACCGCCAATTGGGAAAGGACACAATCCCATTATTTCTGACACTGGATAGATCTAATATCACTATCTCCCCTGCTGCCCCCGTATTTTATTCTCCAAGTGACAGGCTAGGAAGATGACACGTAAACATTATGGGGGAAAGGAGGAACAAGAACTGATTCTGAACGATGCTCTGCTGCTGCTGTCCACAGTGCTTATGAGCTGCAAACAAGTGGTAAGTCCATTTCTGAGAAACACAATGAGCATCGGCTCCATATAGCAGATGTGTATGCCAGATGAGCACATGCTGATAAACAGTATGAAACCACAAGGGACTGCAGGGCATGAGATCCTCAGACAATCCATAATGATCTCTGGTGGCTAAAAGCCACCTTACAAGGATGGAGCCTCCTGGTCTTGCTTTTGATGCCCCACTGCTGATCTACTTGAGCAGCTCTGGAATGCGCTGTTGTGGGGACAGAAGTTTCTGAACAAGCTGGTTGTAAGTAGCAAATGTTCTGACTCCTTTTACCTCCATAGAAGTTGAGGTGTCTTACTCTGACCCCAAACTATCAGGGAAGCCAAGAGACCAGGCATGTAGCAATCTGAGCAAGTGGACGGTGCATTTAAAGTGTGTTTGGGTGGTGCTGGGAGTGGAGAAAATCCCTTTTGGAAAGGGCACAGTTAGAGAAGTGCGGTATGGCTTTGTGGCTTTTTTTTTTTTTTTTTTTTTAAGATTTGAGAGAGAGAGGAAGTGCATGTGAGTGGGGGGAGGGCAGCAGGGGAGGGAGAGAGAAAGTCCCAAGCAGACTCTGCCTAGTGCAGGGCCCAGTCTCGGGACCCTGAGATCACGACCTGGGCCAAAACCAAGAGTCAGATGCTTAACTGACTGAGCCTCCCAGGCGCCCCTCTATTTTCTTAACTGAAGGAAGCCTAAGTGGAAGTATAGATAAGAAACCTATCTTCCTTAGGGAACATCCTTGGAATTGCTCTTCTGCTACCACGTCCAGCCAACAGAGCACTGGCACTAGGACACAAAGGGGTGGGGGAGGCAGAGGGCCTTCTTACCTCCTGGTCATCAAACTCACAATACTGTAAATTCCACTGCGCCGACAGGGTCCTCACACAGGCGTAGGTGTTATTGTAAGCATCTTCACAGACACAGTCTGGGAAACATTGCTGTAGGGATATTGAGAAAGTTAAATCAGGACAGTTCTGTAGTAACAAATACCACTTGCCTACAGGGGCAACCAAGTTGCCTCAAGTCAGACCTACCACTGGACAGAAATTAGGAAACTTTCCACAGAGAAGTAAATCAAAGATAGATGTGTGGCTTTGTTCCTTGTAGCTAACTTGATTAAGGAACATGTTTGTCTGTAGACTCTTGCCATCACTGTCTGCTAATCTCATGACAAGAATCTGTTGTAGCGAGCAAATGGAAAATGGATGGGATGGATGGTAAGGAGACGAAATCAATCTCCTAGGAGTCATGTCTAAGGTATATTAGGAACTGTCGTCTTAATGGGTTGGAGAAAAAGGCTCAAGTGAGCTTTGTGGAATCAGCTGCAGGTAAGTTATTTCTGCATGTCTTCCTTACCAACTTTTGGTTGGTTCTTCACTATTCCTTACACTTTGGTATCAGGCTTCTCTCTGGAGTTGACTTTCCTATTTCCCATATCCAAAGTGAGACCAACACTGCTCTTACCACCTTCATGACCAGCTTGGCTGCCACCAAGCAAGACACTTATGATGGCAGTTACATATAACTGTGGCAACCCTGTATCTCTACTGAAGGCCACTGATAACCTCCCTCATAAACAATGGTATACTGCTATTGGGAAGGGTAGGAAAACAAGAAGAAATGACTAAGAATATGGGTAGATACATGTGCTTGTTACAAAAACAAGAATTCAAGGTGCACATTCTGACAATAGGTCAGAAACATCATTTTCAGGATTACTAAATTTGTCTTGTCTACTAATCTCTACGTCAAGTGACAAAGTCAAGTGAAAGAGGACCAAGACTCAGATTAAGGGTTTTAATACTTGACACACCTAAATCTATGCCTTGCTGTGCTATTGGTAAGAAAACTGTCTAAACCAGCTCAAGCTATTACTCACAGATACTCCAGGACTCAGTGAAGGACAGGTTGGGTCGGTGACATTACGGCCTTCTCCTTGATATTCCACCAAGACATCTGATCGCCAAGTCAGATTGCCGGCACCTTTCTGGAAGGAAGAGCAAAAGTGGTTTCTGTGAGGCATATAGATTGTGATAAGGATCACAAAGTTATATTCTGCTAAAGGGGATGTGGGAGTCAAAACTAGTTGGGACTATTCATTCAGTAGCTAAAGAGAATGGCAAAACCTGATGCAGATGAAGGTTTCTAAATAGCATGTTTTGTACTTACAGATGATAGTCAAAATGCTTTAAGCATTAATACTTCTGTGAAACAGGTTGGGAATGGAAACTATAAACTCTATCTAAGAATTCTTCTAGGGGCACCTGGGTGGTGTACTTGGTTGAGTGTCCAGCTCAGGTCTGATCTTGGGGTCATGGGATCAAGCCCTGTGCTGGGTTCCATGTTCAGCGTGGAGTCCACTTGGATTGCTCTCCTCTCTGCCCATTCCCCCCCCACCCAAAACAAATAAAATCTTAAAATTCTTCTAAACCCATCAGATGAAGAAATTTATAGCCAATTATATACAAGGACAAAAATATTAAACACAGCTGGTGTGCTAATAAGGACTATAACAGGTTCAAATTTGTTCTTAGTCGGAATGAAGATACCACACATATATGAACTCATTTATTCACTGCACATTAGTGGAGTGAAAGGAAAGAAGCAACAGCATTTGAAATGGGAGAGTTTAAGACAGGCACACAATGATGAAAGGAAGAAGGCTAAAGTAATAAAAGTTGTGGATCAAAAGGACAATATGAGCACTGGAAGGAAGCAGAACACTTGGTAGTAAGGTTTCCCGAAATCCAGCTTTTAGACAAGGAATGGAGAGATGGGGTGGTAACCAGAGAGAAAAAGGTGCTGACAGGAGGCTGCCCCTTTGTTCTGTAAAGAATAGCAGGTGGTGGGAAGCAATGGGAGGTTTTTAATCAGGGAAGGAACACAATCAAGGCTGTGCTTTAGAAAAGTCACCCTAGTAGCAGTCTAGAGATGGGGCAGAGAGAGATAGGGAGATCAGGTTAGAATGTGCTCTTAAAATGGTCTACAGCCTTAACTAATCAAAGTCTGGTTCCTGGTGTTAAAGAGGAGACAGCAGGCCCAAAAAGGAGTCACTTGTGCTAAACCCCACACCAACAACCAAGACTTAATCCCTAACCTGACCTAGTTGCAGTTTCAATCCTCCAGGAATGTAACTTTCACCAGTCAACTTGAAATTACCTGGTTAGCGCTAGTGAGGTAATCTGCCCCACAGGCCTTTCCGTTCCCCTTGGGAGGGTGACCTTACCTGAAACAATGCATTCTTTGCTAATAATTTCCATTATCCACCCCCTTTCCACCTTAAAAAACTTTTCCTTTTCTATAGCTCTGCAGAGGCTACCTTCTATTGTAGATGAGTTGCTGCCTGATTCATGAATCACTGGATAAATTTTTAACAGATCGGGTGGCAGTGCCAGGAGCTGAATCAAACTGCTGACAGCATTCTGGGACAATGAGAACCACTGGCAAGATAATTGCAACCCCCCCCCTTTTTTTTAATTCAAGACTTGAACTCATGACCCTAAGATCAAGACCTGAGCTGAGATCAAGAATCAGATGTTCAACCAAGCCACCTAGGCGCCTCTTTGTAAACCCATTTTTGAGTTCACGGTCCTTTCACCATTTCTGAGGGCTGTGGGTTCTAGGTTGTGATCCTAGTCTAATTGGCTTTCTGGTCCAGGGCTTAGCTGGTCACCTTCAGCTGGCAGAATGTTCCATTCAGAACCCAGTTCCCCAGCCCTTGGTTCAATCTGCAGTTCCCCAGTTACTTGGGACCTCTTTCCAGCCCACAGTCCCTATTTGCTGGAATTTGCTGGTTTAGTCCATGCTGGGAATTGCTGGTGGTGCACACGGCCTCTCTTAGCTAGTTCCCAGTAAACCTCTCTTGCTTACTGCTGGTATGTTAAGGTACATATTTGTCATCTTTTGTGTAGATAAAAGCTATTGCTAATGAGGATCTTGGAAGCCAAAAAGCCACAAAAATTGGTGGACACGAGTATTTTACAGTGTTTGTCATCCCCAAGACGACTCCTGTGATAGGATAAATCGGTCATGGGTGACCAACCATCCATCTAACCCATCCCACCAACTTCCAAGAAAATTTCTATGCAACAACGTACACTGTAAAACACCAACCCCCGACCCAGTGGCACCTTTTAGGTATTTAGATTGGCTCTGAGAAATCCAAAGTCTTAGAACCTGAAACTCTAAAAAGTCAAGTGCACACTTGCATACTTTATGTCTAAAAACTATGGTTCCTGAAGTCATAAATATCTACAAGAATGGCAAAATCTTACTAAAAACAGCCCAGAGTTAAACGGGCCTTATGGGGACAAGTAGACAAGATCGCTCATTTAAGAAACATGCTAGCCCTGCCACACCTGGCAGGCAGCCTCGTCCAGCCCCAGAACCTTCCCAAGTGACCTCTTGCTGTGCCACACCCAGTGGGAGGCCTTGTCTGGCGCTAGTGCCCCTGCCCTGGGGGGTCCAGCTCCGCACACGAGAGTGCCTGCAACAGTTAGCTGGACTTTGCAGCCACAGCTCCAGGAGGCTGCCCTGCCCACAGCTACTGCAGCCCGCTGTACCAGAGAGCTGCCTTGCACACCACTGAGTCCACACCAACTGCACCCCAGCCGTGACAGGAGGGTGCACACAGCCCACACGGGACATCCCTGGGACACATGGCTTGGGTGACCAGGGGAGTTTGCCCTACTGGGTCCCCTAGGATACCTTTGGCTTAAAGCCACTTCTTCAAGCCCGGGAGATGTAACTGATCCACTTAATACGTAGAAACAAATATATTTAAACAGAGGCAACATGAGACAGACTATGTTCCAAAGAAAAGAACAAGACAAAAACCTTAGAAAAAGAGCTAAACAAAATGAAAACTGGAAGAAACACATGTTCAGGCTAAGAGCAACATGATATTAAACCACCAAGGGGTCAACAAAGAAATAAGAGAAAAAAAATACCTTGAGACAAATGGAAGCACAACAGTTCAAAATGTAGGAGACACAGCAAAAATAATTTTAAGAGAGAAGTTTAGGGGCACCTGGGTGGCTCAGTCAGTTAAGCGTCTGCCTTTGGCTCAGGTCATGATCCCAGGGTCCTGGGATTGAGGCTCGAATCAGGCACCTTGATCAGCCAGAAGTCTGCTCCCCCCCCCACCCCCTGCTTCTACCTCCCCCCTCCACTGCTCTCTAATAAATAAAATCCTTTTCCATGATGAATCAAACTAGCTCACTATGACCTACACATAATAAAATCTTTAAAAAAGGAAAAAAAAAAGGGAAGTTTATAGTGATACAGGCCCACCTCAAGAAAAATCTCAATCTAACCTTACACCTAAAGAAACTAAAAAACGAACAAAGCCCAAAGTTAGTAAAATAAAGGAAATAAAAAGATCAGTGAAACTAAACACTGGTTCTTTGGGGCACCTGGGTGGCTCAGTTGGTTAAGCGTCTGCCTTCGGCTCAGGTCATGATCCTGGAGTCCCGGGATCGAGTCCCACATCGGGCTCCCTGCTCGGCACGGAGTCTGCTTCTCCTTTCCCTCTGCCTGCTGCTCTGCCTACTTGTGCTTGCTCATGCTCTATTAAATAAAATCTTAAAAAAAAAAAAAGCTGGTTCCTTGAAAAGATAAAATTGATAAATGTTTAGTCAAACTCATCAAGAAAAAAACAGAGGGTCCAAATAAAATTAGAAGTGAAAGAGAAGTTACACCAAAAGGGACAACTTAGAAGAAATGGATAAATTCCTAGGAACACACAATTTTCCAAGACTGAATCAAGAAGCAGGAAATCTAAACAGACCAGTTACTAGTAATGAAACTGAATCAGTAATCAAAAAACTCCCACCAAACAACAATGCAAGACCAGACGGCTTCACAGATGAATTCTACCAAATATTTAAAGAAGAATTAATATGTATCCTTCTTAAACTATTCCAAAAATCAAAGAGGAAGGAATGCTTCCAAATTCCTCATTCTGTAAGGCTAGCATTACTTAGATACCCAAAGCAGACAAATCCCCACCCCCCCAAATTACAGGCCAATATCTTTAATGAACATAGATGCAAAAATCCTCAACAAAATATCAGTAAACTGAACTAAGTAATACATTAAAAAAAATCATAAACCATGATCAAGTAAGATTTATTGCACGGATGCAAGGATGGTTTAATGCCTGCAAATCAATCAACAAAAAGCTACAAATCAGGGGAACCTGGGTGGCTCACTTGGTTAAGTGTCTGCCTTCAGCTCAGGTCATGATCTCGGGGTCCTGAGATCGAGCCCCGCATCGCATAAGGCTCCCTGCTCAGCAGAGAGTCTGTTTCTCCCTTTCCCTCTGCCCCTCCCCCACACTGCTCATCCTCTCTCTCAAGTAAAATCTTAAAAAGAAAAAGAGGGGCGCCTGGGTGGCTCAGTCGTTAAGCATCTGCCTTCAGCTGAGGTCATGATCCCAGGGTCCTGGGATGGAGCCCCGCATCGGGTTCCCTGCTCAGCAGGAAGCCTGCTTCTCCCTCTCCCCCTGCTTGTGTCCTTCTCTCTGTCTCTGTCAAATAAGTAAATAAAATCTTAAAAAAAAAAAAAAGTATTTGATGAAATTCAACATCCATTTATAATAAGATGGGTATATAGGGAACATTCTTCAACATAATAAAGGCCACATATGACAAAACCACAGCTAACATGATAGTCAATGGTGATAAGCTGAAAGCTTTTCTCCTAAGACCAGGAATGAGACTAGGATGCTTACTTTTGCCACTTTTACTCAACACAGGATTGGAAGTCCTAGTCACATCAGACAAGCAAAAGAAATAAAAGGCATCCAAATTAGGAGAAGTAAAACTCACTATTTGCAGGCAACAGGAAACTATATATAGAAAACAATAAAGACTCTACCAAGAAAGTATTAGAATAAATGAATTCAGTAAAGTTGCCAGATACAAAATTAATATACATTAATAGGTTGTCTCTGCATACACTAATAATGAACTATGAGAAAGAGAAATTAAGAAAACAATCCCATGTACAATCTCAGCAAAAAGAATACCTAGGAATAAATTTAACCAAGGAGGTGAAAGACCTGTTCTCTGAAAACTGTAAGACAGTGATGAAAGAAATCAAAGATGACACAAATAAATGGAAAGATATACCATGCTCATGAAACTGGAAGACTTAATATTGTTAAAATGTCCATACTACCCAAAGGAATCCACAGATTCAATGCAGTCCCTACCAAATTACCAACAGCATTTCAAGAAACTAGGCTAAATATTCCTAAAATTGTATGGAACCACAAAAGACCCTGAAGAGCCAAAGCAATTTCGAGAAAGGACAAAGCTAGAGAAATTATGTTCCCTGATTTCAAAGTATACTACAAAGCTATAGTAATCAATACAATAGGGTACTTGGCACAAAAACAGACATACACTCAATGGCACAGACTAGAGCTCCAGAAATAAACCCAGACTTATACGGTCAATTACTCAAGAATATACAATTGGGAAAAGATGGGAAAATTTTTTTTTAAAGATTTATTTATTTTAGAGAGAGATCAGAGGAGGGACGGACGGAGAGGGAGAGAGAGAAAATTTTTTTTCTTTTAAAAGATTTCATTTATTTATTTGACAGAAAGAGACACAGCGAGAGAGGGAACACAAGCAGGGGGAGTGGGAGAGGGACAAGCGGGCTTCCCACCGAGCAGGGAGCCCGATGCGGGGCTCGATCCCAGGACCCTGGGATCATGACCTGAGCCGAAGGCAGACGCTTAATGACTGAGCCACCCAGGGGCACCGAGAGAGAAAATTCTTAAGCAGACACCACATAGCACAGAGCCCGACATGGGGCCCAATCCCACAACCAGAGACCACCACCTGAGCCGAAACCAAGAGTCAGACACTCAACTGACAGTGCCACCCAGGTGCCCCAAGATGGTCTCTTTTATAAATGGTCTAGGAAGAACTGAAGAGCTACATGCAAAAGAATGAAACTGGAGCACTTCTTTTTTTACACGATATACAAAAATAAGCTCAAAATTGATCAAAGACTTAAATGTTAAACCAGAGGCCATAAAACTCCTGCAAGAAAACAGGAATATTTTTTTGGATCTGTCTCCTCAGGCAAGGGCAACAAGGCAAAAATAAACAAGTGGGACTACATTAAACTAAAAAGCTTTGGCACAGTGAAGGAAACCAACAAAGTGAAAAGGCAGCTTACTAAATGGGAGATGTCTGCAAATGATATAACTGATACAGGGTCAATGTCCAAAATATACAGAGAATTCACACAACTCAACATTTTAAAAAGTCCAATTAAAAAGTGGGTAAGGACCTAAACAGACATTTCTATCTATCTATCTATCTATCTATCTATCTATCTATCTATCTATCTATCTATCTATCTATTTATTTATTTATTTACAACAGAGAGAATGAGAGAGAGAGAGCACATGAGAGGGGGGAGGGTCAGAGGGAGAAGCAGGCTCCCCGCCGAGCAGGGAGCCCGATGCGGGACTCGATCCCGGGACTCCAGGATCATGACCTGAGCCGAAGGCAGTCGCTTAACCAACTGAGCCCCCAGGCGCCCTAAACAGACATTTCTGCAAAGAGAACATATAGATGGCCAAGACCTATGAAAGATGCTCACATCACTGATCATCAGGAAATTCAAGCGAAAACCACAATGAGATTACCACACACTTGTCAGAATGGCTAGTGTTCAAAAGACAAGAAATAACAAGCATTGGTGAGGATGTTTAGAGCACGGAACTTTCATGCACTGTTGGTGGGAATGCAAAATGGTACAGCTGCTATGGAAAACAGTATGGAGGTTCCTCAAAAGTTAAAGACAGAATTACCCTACGACCCAGTAATCCCACTTCAGGGTATTTATGTGAAGAAAATGAAAAGACCAATTTGAAAAGATGTATGCACCCCTATGTGCACTGCAGTATTTACAACAGCCAAGACATGAAAGCAACCTAAGTGTTCATTGATAGATAAATGGATAAAGAAACTGGTATATACATATATACAATGGACTACTACTCAGCCATAAAAAAAGAATGAAAACTTGCCATTTGAGACAACATGGATGGACCTAGAGGGTATTATGCTAAGTGAAGTAAGTCAGCGAAGGACAAATACTATTTTACTTATATGTAGAATCTAAAAAAACCCAAATAAAACAGAAACAGACTCATAGATACAGAGAACAATCTGGTGGTTGTGAGAGAGGAGGATGGTGAGGCAGTTGGCAAAATAGGGGAAGGGGATAAAAAGGTACAAACTACCAGTTATTAAATAGACACAGAGATGCCATGTGCAACACAGGAAATACAGTTAATAATGTAATAACTTTGTATGGTGATAGAGGGTAGCCAGATGAACTGTGGTGATCACTTTGTATTGTATATAAATGCTGTACACCTGAAACTAATATAATATTGTACATCAACTACACAATTAAAAGAGAAATGTACTTGAAAGTAAGGGTTCCTGAATTAAATGAAAAGAATGGGATACCTATTTTTTTATTTTTTTTAAAGATTTTTATTTATTTATTTGACAGAGAGAGACACAGCAAGAGAGGGAACACAAGCAGGGGGAGTGGGAGAGGGAGAAGTAGGCTCCCCACTGAGCAGGGAGCCCGCATGTGGGGCTCGATCCCAGGACCCTGGGATCATGACCTGAGCCGAAGGCAGACGCTTAACCGACTGAGCCACCCAGGCGCCCCTTTATTTTTTAGTTTTAATGATTTTATTTATTTATTTGAGAGACACAGTGAGAGAGGGAACATAAGCAGGGGGAGTGGGAGAGGGAGAAGCAGCCTTCCCGTGGAGCAGGGAGCCCGATGTGGGGCTCGATCCCAGGACCCTGGAATCATGACCTGAGCCGAAGACAGACGCTTAACGACTCAGCCACCCAGGTGCCCCTGGGATACCTATTTTAATTGGTATGCAGAGGTTTCCAAAAGGCTTCAAGATTCTAAAATAGCCTCACTAAAGGATTCATTTCAAAAGACCATGGAAAAATTAAAGACACAGAGGTACCTAAAAGATAGAAGTGACTTGACTCCTACATTCTTCTCTATCCTTCTTTATGTTGAGTACTCATGTTTTACTAATTCTGTCAAAATTGCCTTTCACTCTAAAGAGACTATTAAACTGTTACCTTTAAAAATAAAGCCACCTGAGGTTGCAAGTGATCCTTCTCAGATCTCTTTCACTCCTTGGTCAAAGACCGAACTAAGGGTCATAGCTAAAGAATTTCCTGAACCTAAGGAAGAGCCCTGAGTTTTCTGAAGAGTTTAGAATCCTTATGAGTGCCTATGACCCCAGGCTGCCAGATCTTTATCAGCTTGTACACATGTCGGTAGAACCTCGTGAAGGTTCCCAAAAATGGATTTGGGAAGCAGAATCCCAAGGATGATAATCAAGATCCTCAATCACCAACATAGTCCTTGTATGGACCACAAAAATCTGGAAATATATCAACTGATATTTAAAAAGCCATTCCTAGAGTCTTCCCTGCCTGTACTGATTGGTCTGTTATCCAAACATGAAAATAAAAGATGGATCTGTGGCAGAATCTAAAGCCTGTTTGGAAGTGTTCTTCCTATGTCACTCCCGATTCCATACAACCTGCTTAAGCTGCCCTATTTGTAAATGGATTATTTCCTGAGATTAGTGGCTTAATAAAAAGGCAGAATATAGGATGAGAGGCTACTGGTTTGACTGAACTTGTGACCACAGCCAAACACTTTGACAGGATCTGGACCAAAATCATAAACAAAGGTCTGCCAAACTAAGGGCCTTACCGGGTCTCCCACATCATACCCTCCTAGAAGTCCATCATCAAATGGCTGGCCCAGGGCCCATTATCTCATTTGTAATCAACTGGGGCACTTTAGAGAAACCATCCTCAAAGGTCCTTCCTCAGTGTCCCCAAGAAGAGCTCCCACATGGGCCATTCCCAAAACTGGGCTCCAAGGGACCCTCCAGTAAACTGCTATCAGTAACACCCTAAACATCCAAGGGGAAAAAAAATTGATCAAGTACTTTGCTAAGTTCTAGTAGATACCAGGGCTACACTTTCTACTTTAAGATTTTTTTTTTTATTTATTTGAGAGAGAGAGAACACAAGCAGAAGGAGCGGGAGAAGCAGACTCCCCACCGAGCAGGGAGCCCGATGCGGGGCTGGATCCCACATGACCTGTGCCAAAGGCAGACGCTTAAATGACTGAGCCACTCAGGTGCCCCTAAACTCCACTCTCATAGGACAACAAATCCCTTAGAGTGAAAAGAAGGTTTATATACCAGGGATGTCTAATAAAGTTCAGATAGAATTTCTTTGAATTAGCAATAATCATGCCTCGGATAAACCTCAATTGGCTACGATACTGCCACTGTGCAAAGCTGTTCAGATAGAATTTCTATCTTGACCAGTACAAATGACTTTGGGACCTTCTACTAAAAAGCTGCCTTTTTTGCTCTGTGATACAGCCCCAATTTATTAGGAATAGATCTCCTTTCTAAATTAAAGGGGCTAATAAATTTTGCTTCTAATGTGACCTCACCTTAGAATTTCCTGACCAACCTGAACCTGATCTTATAATCTTTATGATTGTTTTTTGATACAGATGAGGAAGAATTCCAACAGAAATCCTCTTAAATGAGATGCCTGAAAAATCTGTGGGCCACTTCTAATTCTGGACAGACAGGACTAAACCTTCTCCTGTATTGCCCTACTATCCATTAAGGCACGAGGCCATACAAGGCCTCACACCTTGTGCAGGGGTTAATCATTCCCTGTTCTAGCCCCTGCAGCATGCATAATTTGCCAGTCTGGAAACATAATGGGAGGGGATGGCAACTTGTCCAGGACCTGAGAGCTATTAACGATTTATTCCCTATTTCCCAGTTGTTCCAAACCCAAACACCCTTTTGTCACAAGTTCTACCAGACTCAAATGGTTCACTGTTGTTGACTTGTTCAGCCTTTTCCAGCATCTATGTGGACTTCAACAGCTAATATCAATTTCTTCTACTTGGAATAGTCAATAATATACCGGACAATCAGACCTCAAGGATTCATCGAGGTCCCTTATTATCCCCATGTACTCCACCAAGATTTCATTACCCTCCAGTTCCCTGGGAAATCAGTTCTTTTACAATATGCATACCTTCTCTTTCTATGCTGTTACCAAAGAGGTGTCCATAAAGGATTCCATTTACTTGCGGTAGCAGTTTGCTGAAAAGGGATATAAAGTCTCTGAGGAAAAAAATCACAATTCTTTCTAGACACTGTTGATTACCCAGGTCATAATTAAGCACTGAAGGAATCCAGTTATTTGGAAAAAGGATTAAGCTGAGCACAGCTTTGTGGATTTCTAACTTAGCTAGCTATTACACATTATGGGTTTCTAAATTTTCTCTGTTGGCTTCCCCACTTTATGAATTTACTAAAATTCCAGTCCCTGAACCCCTTGCATGGGAAGATAAACATGAGCAGACCTTTTTAAGACAAAAATAAGCACCAGAAGATTCACCTGCCCTAGAGTTACCAAACCCAACCCTTTCACCTCATTTGTGCATGAAAGAGATAACCAAGCAGTGGAAATGCTCCTGCAAGAATACGGCAATAAACATAGGCCTGTTACTGCCTATGTTACTGGATTCCACTGCTAGAGCCTGTTCCAGCCGCCATAAGGCTGCAGCTATAGAAACCTCAGTGAATTTAACGTTAGGAAATGACATTTCTTTGTAAACTCCAAACACAGCTTCAAGTCTTCTCAATTCAGAATTGACCCAACACTTTTGCAGGCAGACTAACTCCTTTGTGCTCTTTCTGCTCCTGCCACCTCATCTGCATCTAAATGTCTGACCTATCAGGTCTGCAATCTTGGAAAAACAATTTTTGTTCCCAGAGGCCTCAAACCTCCTCCTTCTGGCCCTGAACAACTGCAAATGGACTTCATTCAGTTGCTACCTTGTATGGGTTATCCCTATGTTCTTGTATGCATGCCTTCCAGATAGATTGAAGCCTTTCCCTGCTGCAAGGCTGATGCCCTTGCAGTAGCAAAGAGACTGTTAGAAAACATGTTTTCCACTTGCGGTATCACCTTCTGTAAATTCCAGTGATTGAGGCACCCATCTCACTGGGCAAATCATACAAGCCTTAACGAAAGCCTTGCAAACCTCTTTAAATGATCACTGTGCCGATCACCCTTGATTATATCAGGCAAGGTTGAGAGAACTAATGGGATCTTCAAACTCTAAACCTCCAAATCAAATTGATGAGGCCGAGAAGCAGGTGACTTCAAAGTAGACTGCTTCCCTCTGGATCAAGATTTCATACTTTAACTGAACATGAAAACTCTTTTTCCTTCTCCTTCTTTCCTTTATTCTGGTCTTGCCCTGAAAAGGTAACAGCCTCGATCTGTTATCTCCCGGGCCAGTGCTTAGTAACCTTTCAGACTGCTGGATTTGTCATCAAAGACTCTGATCTATCCAAGAGGCTAGAGATCCCCTGGTCTTCCCTGTGCCCAATTTCTCTTCTCTTCCCAATTACTACAATGTTACTACCTCCCCCCTCGCCCTTTAAAAAGCTTTTTTTTACCAAGTTCAACTCTTACGGCTAGAACATCCTGTGCCTTTTTACCTTTCTCCATTTATAACTGCTGTGTGCCCAATCAGACACAAATATCTACATAAATCTTGGTACACGTGCACCCCCATTTTCTCATGATTCACTCAAAGATCTCACCAGCAGCACACATCTTTGCAAGGCATTCAGAGCGACCCCACTGCAAGTTAGGAGATTTTCTTCCCATCTGTGCTGAAAACCTAACTGACCCCTGGCTTGAACGGGTAAATGCAGTAAACTCTGTGAACAATTCCATTAATAGGACCACTTTAATGGAGATGGTCTGCACCCTGACAGGGTTTGTCTTTATGGTTCTCACTCTCCTTGGGCCTCTTAATGCCTAGACAGCTGGCACATAGCTGGGCAATGTCTTGGGTCATCTAGCTGTGCCCCTTACTTTCCAGAACGAACTATGATACCTCACTGGTTGATTCCCTTGGATTTATACATCAAGTTAGAAAGAAATTACCAGGAGACATTCATGACACAGGAATCACCTGCTTTTGCAGGGGCATACTTCTCTGGCTCTCAGTTAATATAAGTTAGAGTATGATTAGAAACCTTAACTCAAAGATACTGCAGAATCCATTGCTAAGACAACAGCTGTTCAACAAAGATCCTTAGACTCTCTGGCCAAAGTTGTTATTGTTAATAGAAGAGCCCCTGGTTATATTTTGGCTGAACAGGAGACGTCTGAGCTATGGCCAACATCAACTGCTACTGCTGGATTAACACTTCTGGAGAAGCTGAAACTCAGTTGTGTAAGATTACTGAAAAGCCACTTGGCTCAAAAAGGTGACTCCTTCAGCGGGGTCTTTGATTTTGACTGGTCTGGGTCTTGCGGACTCCAAACATTGGAATTATCCTGTTCATAATCATAATCTTCCTGGTGTTCTCTAAAAAGCTTTAAATGTGTGTTCACAGCCACTAACCGTCAAATGACCTCCCTGAACTGGAATGTCATAAAAGGAATGCAGAGAATGACTGACTTAAAGATTCTGAACCTGAAGTCGGGGCCTGTGACTATCATAGAGATTAAGCAAAAGACGTCATGACCTATGAATACCACACAAAAGATGGACAAAAGCTGCGAGAACTAAAGAGCAGAAGTTGAGAGTAACACTAATGCCTTAAATTCTTATCACATCTCTCAGTTAAGATGACAGTCTGATCAAAAGGGGGTAAACTGTTAAAAAAGAGACAACAGGCCCAAAATGGAGTCACCTGTGCTGAACCCCATGCTGGCAAACCAAGACTTAATACCTAATGACAGTTGCAACCCCCATCCCTCTCTACCCCCCTTAACCTGGATCAGTCAACCTGTAATTATCTGGTCAGTATTAGGTAATCTGCCCATTGGGCCCTTCCATTCCACTTAGGAGGGCAGCCTTACCTGAAACAATGCATTCTTTGTTAATAATTTTTTTTCTGCCCCATTTCTGCCTTTAAAAACCTTTGATTTTTTACAGCTTGGTGGAGCTCCTTTCTATTACCAGATGAGATGCTGCCCAAATAATGAATCACTGAATGAAGCCCATTTGATTTTTAAATTTACTCAGTTGGATTTTTAACAGTAGTCTACCAGCAATACCCGGGAGCTCGTTAGAAATGCACAATCTCAGGCCCTACTCTATCCTTAATGAGCCATGGTCTGCATTTTAATAAGATCCACTGGTGATTCATATGCACAGTAAAATGTGAGAAGCAACTCTGAAACAATGGTTCTCAAGGTGCTCCCCCAGCAGCATTAGCATCGTGTGAGTCCTTACTGCAAATGCAAATTCTTAATTCCTAGTTGGGGTGGGAAACCTCCTAGCTTGAAATAGGACTGTCCTAAACCCTGTGTAAATGCTAGTCTGAGAACTGCTGCACTAAGGATGTAAGTGGACCCACATAACCTGATGTGCACAGTGGGAATGAGGGATAGCCTGTACAAGGCCTCGGAATGCCACAGCTGCCTGGAAAGGGGGATGCAGAGACAGGAATGCATTTTCTAACCCACTATTCTATAATGAACCCTGAACAATCCCATGCAGGTCAAGGGCTCAGAAATCTAAGTCACAAAGTTTTCTCAAACTTTGCTACATAATAAAATCACTAGGGGAGCTTTAAAAATCCCAAGGGCCAGGTTATATCCCATGTCAATCAGCATGGTCAGGAAGGCTCATTAAACATTTTCTGTCAAAGGCCAGACAGTAAATATTTAGAGTTTATGGTTATATAGTCTCTGCTGCAACTACTCAATTTTGCTGTTGTACCAGGAAGGTAGGCCTAGCCAATATATACATGGAAGAGTGTGACTGTATTCTACTAGAACACTATTTACAAAAATGGGGGTGGGCTAAATTTGTCCCACAGGGGTTGCCAGCCTCTGGTCTCTAGCAGCACTATCCATAACTTTCTGATTGAAATGTTCTGTATCTGTGCTATGCAATACAATGGCTTCTGGGGTGCCTGGGTGGCTCAGTCGGTTAAGCGTCTGCCTTGGGCTCAGGTCATGATGCCGGGGTCTAGGAGTCAAGCCCTGCATCGGGCTCCCTGCTCAGCGGGGAGTCTGCTTCTCCCTCTCACCCGGCTTGTGCGTGTGGTCTAATAAATAAAATTAAAAAAAAAAATACAATGGCATCTGAGCACTGGCTATCTGGCTAGCGACACGGAGGACCTGAATTTTTCATTTTAGTCTGGGTTACCTAAATAGCTACACGTGGCTAGCAGATACTTAGGGCAGAGCTAGAGCTGGAACAGCACGAACTACTCTGCAACCATAAACACC